GTACTGGCAAGTATACCACATGTACAGTGTCTCTAATTAGGCCATATACGTGTACAGTGCCCCTGACTTCCAGTGACACTTCACAGGGTATTCAGCACAAATTCACTTCATTTTTGGTTTGGCCCATAATAAACAAAACGCAACTCATGTAAACACCTTTAAATCATGTGTTTTTGAGGGAACGTGTAGGCTTAAGGAATTTGGGATCACGTGACTTATTAAATGTTCGGCAAGTATCAAAATCTTAACAGAAGTATTTAAAAAAGTCTCATTACACCATACTAAGTTTAAAATACATCCCTGTACTATTTGTATAGCTGTCTACTGTACTGAGTTTTGGTTTTTCTACATCACTCTACTGTTTGTATAGCTGTCTACTGTACTGAGTTTTGGTTTTTCTACATCACTCTACTGTTTGTATAGCTGTCTACTGTTCTGAGTTTAAAATACATCACTCTACTGTTTTTATAGCTGTCTACTGTACTGAGTTTTGGTTTTTCTACATCACTATACTGTTTGTATAGCTGTCTACTGTACTGAGTTTTGGTTTTTCTACATCACTCTACTGTTTGTATAGCTGTCTACTGTACTGAGTTCTGGTTTTTCCCCGCCACTCTACTGTTTTTATTCAGGTGTTTCTTCCTTCTTCTCATGTTCTAGTGTGGCTCATAAACAAGTGATGAACTCGTATTAATCCGAGGAAATCTTCTACCTTCGTTGAACTTTCAAGAGTATTCTGAACGTAATTATATTGTTAAAGTGTGGTCTGAAAGTTGTAACATTGTTCGAGAGTATTCTACATGTAATTATATTGTTTAAGTGTGGTCTGAAAGTTGTAACATTGTTCGAGAGTATTCTACATGTAATTATATTGTTAAAGTGTGGTCTGAAAGTTGTAACATTGTTCGAGAGTATTCTACATGTAATTATATTGTTTAAGTGTATTATGCAAGTAATAGTGTTTTCAAGAGTATTGTGTAGGTTATAATATTGTTCAAACGTATTCTGAATGTAATAATGATGGCAAAGTATATTTTGCAAGTAATTATATTTTTCATGAATTTTTTCATTTTGTAATATTTTTTTAATGAAGTTTCTGACAACATAGTTCAACACATTCAAAGAGTTCTTTACTCCTCAAATTAGTTTTAATTTTTTTGTTGAAAGAACCATTGTTGTCTCGTTCTTGTTATAAACCTAATGACATGTTCCAGTACTCGGTAGAAACTTGGTATTGAAAGTGTGGGCACGTGACGTAGAAAGAATCTGTGCTGGTTTCCGGAACGACTTTTAGCGTGCGAGTGTTTTAAGTTATGTATTCGTAAAACGACACGAGAAACGTATGCCTGACTTAACGAGAAACAGCGCAGTCTTTAAATATTTGCTGCTTTTTTATGTTAACAGTCGTTTAGGATTTGTATCACATCACGACTTAGGAAGTGTCATGAGAGAATAAAAACCAGTATAAATCCATCGAAGGTTAGGTGTAGAGGCCATCCAGTGAGAAAACACACATTGACGTTGTTTGTACTTGAAAATGTAGGGCACATGAATTCTATTGATATTAAACCACATACGTGTAGTTTGAAAAAAATTTGTATACACAAATATAGTTTGATAAACGCCCTCATTCCAACAGTGACGTAGCACATGGTCTGTGTTGAGCTTATTGCTGGGTTTTTTTGCTCGTGCAAAATTCCAAAGCCTTGTTTGTGCTGACTGTTTATTCTTAACCGTTGTCTTTATGTTATAGTTTACTCACAGGATAATTAACACTTAGAACATAGCTGAGGTTTTAATGTACATTTTTAAACATACCTCCAAGTTAAAAAGATAACTTCACATAAAACCTACAGAACATTTTTATTAAAACAAATATTGTTTCAATTTAATAAAACTAATCTCTCTAATAAAAGTAAAATATCTCGAACTAAGTAAAGTACTTACCATTCATTCTGTGAGCTTCACTGGAACTTGAGGTTTTGAAATAATACCGCATTTATTAATCTTCCGATTCTGAACTTTGTAACGGTTTCTATTCAACAAAAATAATTCAGTGTTCAGTCCACTTAATAATAACGAAAACTTTCATTTTTTTGGACTACAAGTCTGCTTAACTAACGCTCACTCATAGGCTTAAGTTCACATTAGACGTTAATTGAACAATTTCATTTATTTACTAATTTTTGTCGTACATATCGTATTTCTTTCTGCGTGTGGTACTTCGTCGAAATACAAACTCGACATTTACAAAACTTAAGAACTAACCGGTTGACAATAACAGTCGAACTCCCCAACCCAATTCTAAATCACAAGTCAATCATTTCTTGAGTAATTCATTTTTTATATAACTCAAGTCATTTTCTAAATTCCAAGAAGTTTCTAGAACTTCTATTCATGAAAGCCACGTCAGTTACGTGGCGTCAGAATTATCTGATCAGCAACAATATGAACGTTTACACAAATACTGAAATTAAATGTTTACTCCTATGCGCATGACCATTTTGTGTAAACAATGGTGTGTATCTTATTTTATGCAGTTATTGGACTAACCTCATATAAAGATCCACATTTTTCAAGTACTTATTGGTAAACTTAAGTTTTAGGTTCAAACGTAGAATGCGAGGTTAATGACGAGTTGTTGCTGTTCTTCTGACAAATCTTCGTCAAGTTTCAGATTTTGGTTTGCAGTTTTATGTAAAATACCAAAATATTCGTCAAAGATAAACTTAAAGGTTATTATATTAGAATTTTTGTAACGATTTTTATCCGATAAAAAGGCTCATTTGTGCATATACAGTAGAGTCCTCACGTCAAGGCTATTTTAATGGAGCTACCAAACTTTTAACTTAATTTAACAAACAAATCAAGGCTATTTTAAAGGAGCTAACAAACTTTTAATTCACTAACAAAGAAACAAACTCCGAAAAACTAACGTTCTTTAAATTTACAATCAATTTCTACATTAGGTCTAGTTTATTAAGCGTGGATGCTAGTCCTAGTTTTTGTGTTACTGATCGTTTTAAATAGTATTATACAGAAAACATGTGTAAAGAAGATGCTTTAAACGGCTGGCTGTAAGCCCGTAAAGCTAGATTCAAACTTTATTTCAGTTAAGCCAATATATTTTAGTATAATTATTAACTTTCTTGGAGATGATTAGTTCTGCCACTCAGAGATGGCTCTGTCTTGTGCTCGTCATGATTACTTTGTCACAGAAACCAGCTGGATGAATATACGACATGATTAAACGTTAAATTTATTCTAAATAAACTCCTGAATGTTTAAAGGTTTTTATCATTTTTGTTTCATTGTACTACAATATGATATAAATCCTCAAGATAAGGCAGCGATACATAAACCCCTAGTGTGACGCAGTATAATCTTGACTTTTTATAGTATGGATGCAAGATTTGAATCACTCCAGACTCCAAAAATAGGATATTTCATTGTTTAATGAATTCACGTTATTATAATAAAAAAGGAATCCCTACGTGGTCTGTTGACAGCGTTGTAGGTTTTTCATAACAGTGTTCACATTGCATTAGTGTAAAAAAAATGGTCTCAACAGTCCACGTGTTAAATTATCAAATTCTGCTGAAGTTTTCTTAAGAAGTACTGTCTGTTGTATGTCCATGTAACTACTTCGCAGGGTGTGGATGGATCTTCACCAAGTATAATAGTACTGTCTGTTGTATGTCCATGTAACTACTTCGCAGGGTGTAGATGGATCTTCACCAAGTATAATAGTACTGTCTGTTGTATGTCCATGTAACTACTTCGCAGGGTGTGGATGGATCTTCACCAAGTATAATAGTACTGTATGTCCATGTAACTACTTCGCAGGGTGTGGATGGATCTTCACCATGTATAATAGTACTGTCTGTTGTATGTTCATGTAACTACTTCGCAGGGTGTGGATGGATCTTCACCAAGTGTAATAGTACTGTCTGTTGTATGTCTATGTAACTACTTCGCAGGGTGTGGATGGATCTTCACCAAGTATAATAGTACTGTCTGTTGTATGTCCATGTAACTACTTCGCAGGGTGTAGATGGATCTTCACCTAGTATAATAGTGCCGTCTGTTGTATGTCCATGTAACTACTTCGCAGGGTGTAGATGGATCTTCACCTAGTATAATAGTGCCGTCTGTTGTATGTCCATGTAACTACTTCGCAGGGTGTGGATGGATCTTTGCCAAAATTTAAATGGAGTTTCATTAGGTCCATGCGAGAGAACATACAAATATCCGGTTTTACATTTTGCGGTTTTTATGGGCGTCCAATGGATGGATTTTCACTAAATATGGTATGGAGGTTCATTGAGTCCATGAGGAGATACATAAAAATTTTCAATTTTTGCGTTTTGCGGTTTTTATGGGTGTTTTTTTTATCAGTACTTCGCCCCCTGTTGATGGATCTTCACCAAATTTCGCATAAAGGTTTGTTGGGTCCACACGAAGGTACACGCAAATTTGCGGTTTCCTATTTTGTGTTTTGCAGTTTTATTGGAGTTTTTGAGGGGTTTTTTTTTACAATTACATGTCAGGGAAGCAACTTTTCATGTCCTAAGATAACTTTTCATTAATCATGAATTTACATAACTTTCGCCCGGAGAACAAGTACTCCAGCTAATTTTTAATACAATTTGAAGGGATGCTGTATCAATCTAAGGTAACAATCATAGTAAAATTAGTTCATGATTGCTAACAGACGTCTAAGAATAGTGAGAGATCTAGTTTATAACACACGCCTCAGAATAGTGAGAGATCTAGTTTATAACAGACGTCCAGGAACAGTGAGAGATCTAGTTCAGACGTCTAGAGATAGTGAGAGATCTAGTTTATAACATACGTCCACGGACAGTGAGAGATCTGGTTTACCTGTAAAACAACGTTAATTTCGATGTTATTACGATTAGTATAGAAACTTGTTTATAAAATGCAGACGACCAATTTAACTATTATATCATAGTTGTATTTATCTCTCTTAATTTTAGATTCATCATTTCTGGCCACCAGAGCACGCTTGTTTTCTCGTGATCGTTTGAACACTACAGAGTATATGCACAGCTTGGCAACAATAGACAGGAAATACGCGATGGATCAAATCCTAGAAAAACGCCGAAGAGTCCTCTTTGCTCCAGAAATTAATTGCGACAACTCCAACGGTTATGTGGACGAGGTTTTTATTGACATCACTGGCTTTAATAATACAAATGATCAAGAAACGAGTCTCATTACGAAGGATGAAGCAACGTGAAGTTTCTATCAGCTTTATTGAAAATCTAATATTGAAGAAGATTTTGAAAAGAAAATCGCAGTTCTGCCATTCTGACTGTAAAGTAAAAATTTTGGTGTATATTTGTTGTAAAAATATATAAATTTACTCGAGGTAGAAGGTAATGAGTATTTTAATGTATCAACAGACATTTTTGGACACATAAGCTCGTGTAAAAGCTGTCAAAATTTCAACAGAAATATATAAAAGCATATTACTGAGATTGCTTTACAACGACTTTGTGCCAATAATATTAAAAAACATTGTCACTGAAACTGTTATAGCTTTTGATATTTGTCATTTGGTATCTACCTACAAAAAGGTATTTAGTCGTTTTTGCAGCTAGCGGACCAATCATAAACAATGATTTAAGTAAACGGTATTTTTGTTTTTTGTTTCAAAGTCTGATTGTAATTATCCTTGTAGATTATAACTGATTAATGGTCGAGTTTAAATATCTTAAAACGTATTTTAAAACATGTCTATTATTATATAATATACAGTAGGCAATTAAGTATGTATCCCTTAAAGATTTGTATAATTTAAAATATATTTTTACACTTAGGAACTTTTTTGTTGTTGTGTGGTGACATTACAGGTGTAACGCAACATGCATGTATATTTTAAAATGTGTGTGAGTTATGAAGGCGAGATTATTTAAAGATTCTTGATCACCATGTTTTCAAGAATTGTATTCAGGGGTTAAACTAGGGTGGAACGATCTGGAATGGCGTTCCGCCTCCTCAAGATTCAAACCATTAGCGTTCCTGGACTTCTAATTGGAATGTCAAAGTGGACCATTAAAGGGATTATCCCCTCTTTCAAAATTACAATTTAACTCCTGCTTATAGTGGGAGTGGGTGGGTCTAAGTATGCTGATGAAACAATGGTCAATTGATTGGGAGTGTGTGGATGGGTCTAAGTATACTGATGAAACAATGGTCAATTGATTGGGAGTGTATGGATGGGTCTAAGTATGGTGATGAAACAATGGTCAATTGATTGGGAGTGTGTGGATGGGTTTAAGTATGCTGATGAAACAATGGTCAATTGATTGGGAGTGTGTGGGTGTGTCTAAGTATGCTGATGAAACAATGGTCAATTGATTGGGAGTGTGTGGGTGTGTCTAAGTATGCAGAATGAAGCAATGGTCAATTGATTGGGAGTGTCTAAATATGCTGATGAAACAATGGTCAATTGATTCAAATCTGGTGCAATTGTAGTAAAACTAAATGATTAAACAACAAACGTTTGAATTTATTTAAAAACATAGGAAGTTTAAAGTAAATTTGAGTTGGATTGTAATCACAGCAATGCCATCTGTGGAAAAATAATACCCTCAACTGTTGTTTGTGTAATAGATCTGCATGGTTGTCAGTTATATTTTACTTTATAGCTATTTCAAAAGCATTTAATAATTTATAAACAGTAGTTTAACGTGATAGAGGTGTACTGTATGTTTAATTTAACAGGAGACTTCTGTGTTATTTGCACTTTTATCATTTCTTAATCACGGGATAAAATATTTGAAATACCGTTGTACATATAACATGTTGAAATGGAGTAGTTGATTGTAAGTTTTAAAGTATCAAATACTATATATTTTGGTACGTGATTCATTTGTTTATTTAGGTTGAAATCCAAGTGGGTGTTATGTGATCCCTTGTACATATATTGAGACACTACATCAATGTAAGAAATGACAACTCCTGATTAGATAATACTTGAAAAACAAACAAACAAAAAAAAGTTGATAATAATTATTTTCCTCCGGAATGCCAGTTTCTATAAGTTAAAGAACTTTAATAAGATGCGCATAAAAGGCATGACTTTTGAAATATCGTTACATTTTGTTAAACTTACAAAAAAGGCATGACTTTTGAAATATCGTTACATTTTGTTAAACTTACAAAAAAGGCATGACTTTTGAAATATCCTTACATTTTGTTAAACTTACAAAAAAGGCATGACTTTTGAAATATCGTTACATTTTGTTAAACTTACAAAAAAAGGCATGACTTTTGAATTATCGTTACATTTTCTTAAACTTACAAAAAAAGGCATGACTTTTCAGATATTGTTACACTTTATTAAACTGTATATTCAATTTTTCTAATGTCTTAGTTTGTAAATAATGCAAATAATATGAAACTTGGTTCAGTTTTCAGTGATATAGTAGATCTTGTCTTGTAGCCTAACGTGTTAGTTAAATCATTGTCACCGTGAGCTAAAATTGTATGTATACATACTAAGTACTGTTATTTTCATGATTACAAAATTATTTATAAATATTTATCAAATGAGGCTAAGCTAGGAAGGGATGCTACTTATTAACCTACAAGCCAGTGCATAACCCGAAAAACACCTATTTATTAACCTACAAGCCAGTGCATAACCCTAAAAATACCTATTTGTGTGTGATTTAGTTTAGAAAAACTTGGCTTGTTATTATGTCACATTTTTATTCTAGTTAGAAACATGCACTAATCATTTCAGGTTTAAAATCAGTAAAAGCGTATGAATTAATTTAGAAATATTATACTGTTAAAACGACCTTTGAAGTTTGTTTCAGTAAATACAATCAAATAGGAATTTATTAGGTCTTAAGCTAAGCCTAATCTCTGGGGATCAGCTCCGTTATAATACGCAAATACTTAAGACAACTCAGGTGTATTGAATGAAAGAATATTTACATAAACGATAAATGAAGCTGTGGAATATCCCTTCTCAGAAAAATTCGTCTTTATTTCAGAAGATCCCGATATAAAATGCATTCATAATTTAACCAACTTTTTTAAAGTTACTATCTAGCCTACATTCTAGATGAAAAGTTTCTACCCGACTAGATCTCAAAGTCAAGCTTATATCAGGTATCGTAACATGTTAACATGCATGCCAACTTCGTCCAACGGATCTAGCTTCATACAATTATATAATTCCGCTTCAAGGCTGTCGTGTAATTATAAATATATTCTGTCCACACAATGATAACATAAAGATAAACTTATTTTAATGTTTGGATTTTTACACGTTTCTCATGTTAATCATTAGACTAGAGAATAAAATTGTGTGTATGAAAAATATATTTTCTATCGTTTAAAAAAATATTTGGGATGATGGTGATATTCTAACAGATATTTAATATTTAGCTCTATTTTTTTCCTAGTATTGTTTTTATAATGTCAATTCTTTTTGTACTTTTTTACGTAAATGTAAATAAAGTGTTAACTTTTTTGTGATTATATTCGGAGACTGGATGATTCATTCAAATTGCTAATACTAATTATAATAACTACTAATACTAATTGCTATTAACTTAGTATCAAATTTCTTCTAGTATTCATAAAAATATAATTTACTATTTAGCCTCATCATACGCACGTGTCGATAATTAGGCTGTTCGAAGTAATTTTGTGACTAGAAAAGTTTCTTTAAATCTAAAGTATGAAGTTGTATCCTTGTTCTTACTTGCTGACAATACGTATAGTTGGAACAGTTTATACCACGACTTGCTGATAATACGTATAGTTGGAACAGTTTATGCCACGACTTGCTCACAATACGTATAGTTGGAACAGTTTATGCCACGACTTGCTAACAATAAGTATAGTTGGATCAGTTTATGCCACGACTTGCTGATAATACGTATAGTTGGAACAGCTTATGCCACGACTTGCTGACAATACGTATAGTTGGAACAGTTTATGCCACGACTTGCTGACAATACGTATAGTTGGATCAGTTTATGCCACGACTTGCTGACAATACGTATAGTTGGAACAGTTTATGCCACGACTTGCTGACAATACTTATAGTTGGAACAGTTTATGCCACGACCGTATTATATTATCTTTATTACTTCATCAACTAATATATTAATGCTATATTTACTATTTTATCTAATTAACGCATTGATGTTATCTTTACTAGTTCATCCAACTGTCGTATTAATGTTAGCTTTACTATTTCATCTAAATAGCGTATTGATGTTATTTTGTTAGTTGATCCAACTAATATATTAATGCTATATTTACTATTTTTATCTTATTAGACGCATTGATGTTATCTTTAATAATTCATCCAACTGTCGTATTAATGTTAGCTTTACTATTTCATCTAAATAGCGTATTGATGTTATTTTGTTAGTTGATCCAACTAATATATTAATGTTATATTTACTATTTTATCTAATTAGAAAGATAACATCAATGCGACTAGTTCATCCAACTGTCGTATTAATGTTAGCTTTACTATTTCATCTAAATAGCGTATTGATGTTATTTTGTTAGTTGATTCAACTAATATATTAATGTTATATTTACTATTTTATCTAATTAGCGCATTGATGTTATCTTTAAAAATTCATCCAACTAGTGTATTGATATATAACATAGCTTCCAAAGATGTAAAAACAAATGCATCTTCTCCAGATTAAAAACAAGCTCAAAGATGAACTAAATTTGGAAAGAAACTCTAATATCTTTCTTGATTTGGCGATTTCATTTCAAGATTTCCCTATTTCGTAGCCTTTTTATCGTTTACCTTTTCTTCAGAGTTAAAGAAAAACCAAGCGACTCACAACATTCATGAGAAGTTTAGGCTTAAATTTTGGAGTTTCAATGAAAGGAGTTATATTTTGAAAAGCTTACAACAAGAGCATCTTTCCAGAAGAATATAGTGAAAAAATATTTTTCACCAATTTTATTAAAACGCCAAAGGTATAGCATTGGGAATTTCGACAAAAAATTAATTGTTTGAAAAACACAAAAAATCGCGTATTTGAATTGAGATTTGAATGTGAAATATGCCACTGCATATATACCTTTAAAAATTAGAGACCCTTGAACATTAAAACTTAAATGAAAAATATTATACTGATTCCAAAATTTTAAAAACAAAGGCCTCTCATCCAGATTAAAAACAAACTGAAAGATAATATAAATTTGAAAAGAAACTATACTGATTTTATGATTTTGAGAATATTGTTATAAAATTCATGCATTTTGTAGCCTCTCTAAATTTTGTCTTTTCTTCAGAAGTAAAGAAAAATCAAAGCTACCCAAAACATTCATGAGAATATTAATCTTAAATTATGGTGGATTTAATTTGGAAAGAAGACATAATGGTCTTTT